GGGGGGGGAAGCCCTATATCGCATAATTATCACCTGGCTATCTAAGCTAAGTCATAGCTAAGTCATAATTATGAGATATATGTTTGTTTTGTTAAGAGTGGCAGAATCAGGCTTTCTTTCTTTAAAGATATCCAAAAAGCTGTTTTTTTTTTATTCTGTGTCTCTAAAAAGAGGAGTCAGTTAATAAATTATAGTATAAATTTGGTGACATATTTTTTTTTCATTTTTAGTCTGTGGGGACATCCATGGGCAATTCTTTGATCTTATGAAGTTGTTTGAAGTGGGAGGATCGCCGGCCACAACGCGATACCTATTCCTCGGGGACTATGTTGACCGTGGCTACTTCAGTATTGAGGTTGGATATATGTTTTTGTCAACATGCAAACAATGACAAGCCATGGTAATTATGAATTAATATGAGCCCTAATATAAGACAAAAAATCTGTGCTTCTCTGTTCTGACAGTGTGTTTTATACCTTTGGTCGCTGAAAATCCTCTATCCAAAGACACTATTTTTACTTCGCGGAAATCATGAATGTAGACATTTGACAGAATATTTCACCTTCAAACAAGAATGTAAGTACCTCACAGATTTTTATGTGCTTTTTTTCCACACAAAAAAAAAAAAAAATATATATATATATATATATATATATCGTGCAGTGTGTCTAGAGAAGCTTATCCACCTGTTTCTTTCTGTCAAGTTTTGGGTTAGCAGATAAAAATGAAGCAACATTTTTTGTGCAAAATATAGCTTGACATACATACTAGACAAAGGTGCAGCTGACCCCCTCTTTTTGTCTGACAGGTAAAATCAAGTACTCAGAGCAGGTGTATGACTCATGTATGGATGCATTTGACTGCCTCCCTTTGGCTGCACTCATGAACCAGCAGTTTTTGTGTGTCCACGGAGGACTCTCACCTGAAATACACACCTTAGATGACATTAAAAAGGTACTATGACACCAATGCTTTATCCTTGTTGTAGTTTTTCTGTCCTTAATAATAATGCTTTTTTGTGTTCAGTTGGATCGGTTCAAGGAGCCCCCTGCATTTGGGCCCATGTGTGACCTGCTCTGGTCAGATCCTCTGGAAGACTTTGGAAATGAAAAAACGCAGGAATACTTCAGCCACAACACAGTGCGAGGCTGCTCTTACTTCTACAGGTGAGCTTGCAGTTTTGTTAAGAGATGAAAACCAGAGGTGATTTTAAATATGAGTTCTATACTTCATCACCAAGAGTGATATCCACATAAATGGCCTTATTGAGCACTTGCTTGGTGTTGGGGAGGAGAGAAAAAAAATCTTATTTTTATTTGGAAAAAAAGCTGCCAAACATTACATCAACTCAAACCTTTAGATCACTCTTACCGGTCAGGAGGAGTCCAGTTTATGCAGCATATCATGCCATTGGGAACTGATTCTGGACTCTCAAACAGACCAAAGAACTGTACCATAGCACGGTTACAACTGCTGTTGTCTGCATGGTTCATCCATACCTTTTCTTTAGCTGTTTGCTTGCAGTGTACGTAAATGTGTGTTGAAGCCCAACATACCAAAAGTAACAAGATGGGATTTAAAGTAGAGTACAAGTTAGTAAGGTACAAATTCAAGAAAAGAAAAAAATTAAATAAACAACTGGTGACTGCGAATATGACAGCAGCAGCCCCAGTAGCAAACACAGAGAGGTGAAACACAGCTTGTTGTGTCAAGCTGAGAACAGTAGGACCCAGTATTCGAGGCGAATAAACAGTTTGATTTCTCTAAACGTTTATTGGAAACTGAACTGAACAGATACAACAGATAAGGGACCATGTCTTTCTGGAAGTGGATGTTAACGAACGTGTGAGTCACTAAACTGGTCTTATAGTTCAGTCCGAGCCCAGAGAGTGTGGTTGGTTCTAGCTGGTTGGCTGCCAACATGACACAGCAGGTTGCCGCACAGAGAGTTGCAGACACTGTTTTATCTGTGGTTAGAGGATAGGCAGGAGATCAGAACCGAGCAAACGAAGGTGGGCGGGATAATCCAGAGGGCAAAGCCGATGTCGGTGACATGCTCGGCTGTCAGTGCCAGGAGGTAAGAGATTCAGTGAGGTGCCGAGGGAGAATCCAGGACAGAATTGGGTAACAGTTCCAGGTATGGAACACAGATAGGCAGAGTTCCTGCAGGAGTGAGAAGACAAGTCAGGCAAACAGATCAGAACGAGGACAAGCAGACTCAGAGGTTGAGAGATGTAACAGGTCAGGATCATGTTATCAGGACACAGGAAGGCTAGAATAATTCTGACCAACAGCTCGAAAATAATCTGGCACTGATGGCTGGTCTAAAGGCTGGTTAAATAGAGACTAAAGCAGGTGGATCTGACAAGCACATCCTTCTTAAAATGTTCCAAGCACAGAAAAGACACCATGAAGTAATACAATTTTTCCTGATCTTCTGACCTTTTTCAAACAAATTGAAAGCAGCTGATACTTAGGAAACTTAAATATTCCCATGCCACACTTGGTCCATGCCATACTCACAGGGGTTGAAGCAAAAAAGCTGCTACCAGACGCGAAGACAGAGGTGTATATGATAGCATGAAAACTTCTGCAGCTTTCCATAACAAAACCACTGTTCCCATTCTCAGTCGTTCTCCTGTATACATCACTCCCGTTTTTTTCCCTCAGTCGCTGAGCCTCGCTACAGTCCTCTGAACGTTAGAGGTTTTTTTGATTAAAACTATTATATGCAGGAACCCGTTTAATTATTATGTTGATCATTGATATTAATGTTTTGATCAACACAAATACAGGAAAATGTCAATATCGTGTCATCAACACTTTAAGGGTTTTCTGGATGGTAGCATAAAAGAAAAACAAACTTGATCTATTGTACTTGTCGAGAAATTTAAACCATATTTGCATCATTTGTTTAAAACAAAGTAACTTTGAGGTTACTATTTGAGGAAACTACTATAGAAAAGTGGATGGTTTTATATTTCAGTAACCTACAAACTCAGAAAAGAAAAAAAATGTATTTGCCTGCTTCAAATAACACATTTTTAGCTTTTTTATGCTCTTTTATTTTTAGAATCAAATTTGCATTAGCCTGTGATCTCTAAAACAATCTTCTGGTTCATATAGTTTTTATCTTTTATTCTTTATTTTAGCTAATGAAAACAACTGTATTGGTGAAACTTTCCAAGATGTGTTTTCAGGACAAGCATGAACATCAATGACCCTTTTTTTAGCAAAACTGTACCTAAAAATCAAAGCACTGAGTTAACAGCAATCAAAACAATCCAGATGCTTTAGAAGAAAAAGGACAACCTGCTCTGTCTTCCACCAGTGTGAAATGGTCACCCATTGGTATTCAGTAAGATGGAAGCTTGGCGAGGATTATTCTCTACATGTGTGGAGGATGCTGCTATTATAGTCATCTATCTCCCTCTGGCTTTGTTCTGCCTTCACTCTCAAACTTACCTCTCCATCATGACGACTCTCTCTATCCATCCAGTGTGGATGCTGCACCAAGTCCTAAATTCTAGATTTATGACAAATTATGCAAACATTTTAGGCTGAATATAGTCTAAAGAACCAGCTAAACCTCATAAGGAGATTTACTTAGGTTGTAAAAATTCTGAAGTCTATATTAAATATTTCTTACAGTCTGGACTGATTGGATTTGTGCTAATTTAGAATCAGGGGCTCAACAGGCTTTGGAAGTGTTAGTTTTATAGCTTATATTTTATTCACAAAGAGTCATAATAGAAAACACTCGACAAAAGAACTGGTACGTTTTCTTCTTATATCTCTAAAAGTATTTTTTTTTATAACAATAACCATTATACGTTTTATGTGCCAGCCAAACACAGAATAGCAAATTACTTTAGATTTAAAAGAAAAAGATAAACGTTTTCACAAATGTATGGAATGTATAGCCTGATACAAACTACTATTGAATTCCAACCTAGTTACTGAATAACTTACATGAGTTATTTTAAGGCTTTAGACAAAGACGAAAGAACAGAGCTGAAATGTCAGAAAGAAAGATGGGAAGCAGTTAAAAGGACGGTTCTTTAATAAAACAATATTCATAGTTTGGGGCATCTTATTAAGTTTTGTTTGGTCATATGAACATGGAAAACCAACAAAACTTGGCTGTCCTCCCATCTTTATAGTACCTAGAAAAGAGCCTTATCAGAGTAGCAGCGTAGATCATCATAGTAATTTTGAACAAGCTTCATGGATCCAAAGCTCAACTAAAAGTCTTCTATTAGGCCTTCAATTCACAAATCTTCATGCAAAAGCAGCAGGAGGAAATCCAGAATGTTTACCTGTTGTCCTTCTGAACTAATGGCGTTGGCAGCATCATAATGTGGTAATTTTTTATTTTTATTTTTTAACCAAGAGTAGAAACTGCTCAGAAATTCAGGAAGACTGATGGAGTTTCTTGCATAGAATGCTGAAAGAAAACATGTCAAATGCTGCAAAAGTCCTGCAATTTGGGTTAAGGCAAGGCAAAGTATTTTAAACACTGAAATAGAAGCAAAAGAAAAGAGGAATAAAAGCAAGTGAAGATTAAAACGTTATAAAAATAGGTAGTAAGACAGGGGCAGAGCTAGGCTTTCTCATCATCAGGGGCTTTGCCCACACAATATTTCTTTAAAATAAAGGCAATTAGTTAAAAGTAAGAGGTTATTCCTGCATTCCATCTGTTTGTAAAGATTTATTGGATATGTAATCATTGTTAACAGCTTAATACTGTTAGGGAATCATTTATTATCTAAGAGGACGTAAGTAAGAAGTAGGCCTTAGTCTGACAGTCTTACTCAAAAAAAGTTGAATTCTGTTGACTTAGACAACTTTTATTGTCATTTTGTAGACACAGAGTGTATTACACTTGATTTTTGTTGTTTAAATATGAATAAATATGTAAAAATTGATTAAAAGCATCATTGTCCACGTTTCCTATTTTAATTTTCATGAAATGCATTTGTTTTTATCTACAAGCTGGAAAATGTCCCAAGATTGGAGTTCAGAAATCTGGTCACCTTATTTTAATCCAATCTTAAACGCACAAAATTGTGTCCTATACTGAGTTGTCCTGTAAAATAAAGTTCCAAAAAGATACTATTTTAGTTTTTATTTGTAATCTAAACAAATGTGAACAAGTTAGGAATACCACTTTGTCATATTTTCTGGACTATACACTGCTACTTTTTCTCCATGCTTTGAACTATGCAGCCTATAAGAAGGTGCGGCCTTTCTCTGGATTTTTCCTAACCTAATAGGCGACGAAGCCCCATCTTTCAGTAGAAGGTCTTACTGCAAGTACAGTAGCCCAGAAACTAACAGGTACTAGCATTCATCTTTGCCCCTACTCCAGGGGCTATATGTAGAGCCCCCCCTACAGGATTGGTGGGAGACAATTCAGTAGATATCAGGGGCCTAAAAGCCCGGTGGGGCTTATTCATGTAATTTTCTTTTCTTTTTTTTATTTAGTGGGTGTGCTCTATAGTCCAGAAAATACGGTAGTTAATTCTAACAGAGTTTGACTTACAGTAAGCCTACTTAGCTTTTGTCCTTACTTTCTGTCTGTGCTTGCATTCAATTTAATGTGCAGTGATTACAAGATTTAACTAAAGGGGATTTTTTTTTTAATATACACATAATAGGGGAAATGAGAGGGATAACCAGCAGTCTCACAGATGGATTATATTAGGTGAAAGAAGGAAGGGGAAAAAAACCCTCTCACTTTCACACTCACGACGCAGCACATCCATCCCGCTCTGTCTCTTTCGCTCATACTCACTTGTCACATTCCTCTCTCGTTCTCAGTCACAGGCTCGCCAACACATATCATTGTGCGTTTTCACAAAGGAGGAGAAGGAACCCTCAGAGGGCAGTTGGAGTCCATACTGTTTTCCCCTGCATTAAGCTGACAAACATAGTTTGAGCAAACAAAAAGTGACTGAGATCAATCTTAAGCTCTATCTGTAATTTCTGTCTTGTTATAAATGTTTTAAAACAAGGTAGGTTTCAGTCGTATGTCTGATGTTAAAATGTGCTGTAGATGTTTTTTAATAGAAACAGTTATATAACACTCCTTTGAGTGCAGGATCTTGCTGTGTTGTTAAACTCAAATGTCAGCCACAGAGGAAACTGAAGAGCACGTTTCCAGAGCTCCTCATGTGATTGAAAGCATATATCTCCCCTGGAGAGGATGTTACCTATGTGACCTAAATAAAAGGGAAGGATGGCACAGTTTTGCCAAATGCTTAGGGCACGGCAGTCCTCTTGTTTGTCTTCCGGCATAAACCTTTGAGCACTTAAATATTTAAAACATCTCTGAAAGTTTTTATGAAAGTACAGGGGAATTTTGTCAGTTTGTGTATCTGGTTTATGTTTTATCAGTCCACATGTAATCATTTTACAGTTTTGTTTACAGATAGAACAAGATGTTACAGTATGAGATGTAGTTAAATGAAATGAAAGGATATATAATGAAATGATATCTTTGACATTTATCTAATCGTCAGTAATATTGGGTTAAACAAAACAACATGAGGCAGATGAACGGATGAAGCAAAGGTTGGTGTCAGCCAGAAATGACCAAAGATTGTAAGTGATCAAAGATCTAATGATTAGTCATTTTGTTTTGCATTGATGAATCCAGTTACAGACTACACATTACATTACAGTGTATTTCTGCCTCTTTTTCTCCTAATCGTCAACTTCACAGTATAGTTTAGGAATTTAAAAACACTGAATTTAATCAGTGCAAAGGGTAATAAGAAGGCTGGGAGCATAAAGCAGCATTTATAGGATCCCTAAAGATAAGGGAAAGCCTTTTATGATGAAAAAAAAACAAAAACATAATGTCTATTTATAAAACTGGCATAATCCCTCACTAACAATTTGAAAAATCAAGCCTTTTATGAGTTCTTGTCCTATGGGGAATTTCTGATAACCTGACAACAGCCAGATGCATGTCTAGCTCCGCCTAGCTCCACTCACATACAGCTAGACATGCATCTGGCTGTTGTCAGGTTAAATTTCCGATGCTTCAGATGTCCTGATGTCTCTACATATCGATACCGGATACATGGCTGTGCAGTATTGGGCAACGCCGATACCATACCGATACCTTCTGTTTGAAATTGATGTGTGTGGGTATATATGAAGAACTGCCTACCTTTGTGAAGCAGGAAAAAGACTAATACAAAGTGAATCGAGTAGAACTTTTTATTGCCTACTTGGAATTGGTGACAATAGTTGAATAAATTTTTAGCTCTCAAAATGGTATCGCTGCCCTATTTGTTGCCACTAGCCGATACTGATACCACCTAGAGGCCTGCGCGGGACAGATTTTCCAGTTCCGCCCGCTCCCGCAGTGTTCAGTCCGGGTGAAGCCCGATCCCGCAAAGAATTATGATTTTCAGTCCCGCCCCGGCCTGCACCTGTAGTATTTTTTCCCGCTCCCGCCCGCAATTCCCGCATGATTCCGACGTTCGCCTACTGCTTAAGGCAATTCGTATCATTAGTTTGAGGAATTAAACACGCTGTGCTTAGCTGAGCACATTACTGGCCATTCTTCACCGCATAGTGCATCACGGGTGTTAGGTGGCACGAGCTGCTGCTTCACAGCAATACCCAACTAACCTACCAAAATCTACTGAGGATATTAAGAATAATATATTGTGCATAATCTTATATGCCACTCATCATAACCTTCACGTATTAAATAAAAATCTAATAAGTTATAATGAATAATATTAAACACCGTATGATGGAGCCCCACTCAGCAAATTGTGATGTATATATATGGTAGACATAGACTGATAATTTATTACTTTATTTTACATTTTTAAACACGTTTTTAGTTCGCGGGACTGCATCTTATTACTGCTCCCGCCCGCACTGTGCGCTCTCCCTCCCGCCCGCACCCGCAATGAGCTTTCAATATTTGTCCCACGCCGCACTGCTTTGCGTGGGACAAATATTAGAGTGGTATTAGAGCCCTGGTATTAGAGGTATTAGAGCCCTGCACTCCCGCAGGAGTTCAGATTGTTTTTCAAGCGAAGATTGTGCCACTTCAGGTATTAGCAGCAAGGTGATAATGAAGTAGAATACAATAAACATTTGAAAGACTATCAGATAACATAATTAAAATAAGCTTATACTGTGGATAAACAAAAACAAAACAAAAAACAAATACTATGCTGTAACACTGTGTTAACATATACACTGTGTAACATGTATTTTGATGTTTCATACTTAAAGATTTGTAGAGTTTGTGGTTCTGAAATATATTTGCTTTAACTTTTGTTTTAACTTTTTTAGTTTCCTGTGGCTATTTATGCTGTTTAATTTAATACAATGACAATGTCCCTAAACACAGTTTTCCAATCTCCTGTTTTCCAGTTATCCCGCTGTGTGTGAGTTCCTACAGAGCAATAACCTATTATCGATTATCCGAGCACATGAAGCACAAGATGCTGGGTAGGTTGAAACAAAACCAAAAGTTATTGACTGAAAGCAAATCAATCTCTTTCTATCATTTTTTTAACAAACTATTCACTGTTTTTTGCCTTCACCTCTGCCTGTCTGCGGTTAAGTTACCGGATGTACCGTAAAAGTCAGACTACTGGATTCCCGTCCCTAATAACCATCTTCTCTGCACCAAATTACCTGGATGTTTACAACAATAAAGGTCAGGAAATGTTTTCTCATTTCTTATTTTTATTTACTTGCTTGCTTGTATATATATGTGTGTGTGTGTGGGGGGGGGGGGGGTGGGGGTGGGGTTTGTATATAATTTTGTTTTTTACAATAGTTTGTGTAATACTGCACCCTGCAAATAAACAGATTTCTGCAGTTTTTTGTCTCACAGAAATAGAATAGACCTGGTATTAACAGAATTGTATTTATTGCAGGCTTTAAAATGTGTCATCGCTACTGCATTATATAATTCAATAGACTAAATAAGGTCAAAGGATACATTTTTCTTGTTAAAACTAAATATAGAACAGTGAAATATTGCGCTGATGTTGTAGAAACGAAGCGTAATTATCAATTGTCTCTCTAATAGCTGCTCCAATTATGATTTAAGTGCATTTGAGTTCAGTTTTTATTTTTTGCTGGCTTTCACAGATGTTTCATTGTTGGATTTTTGGGCCTATGCATCATTGAAGTCAAATCTGACAGTTAAGAATCTTTTTTAAACCTGACCCTGTCAATTGTTAATGATTATGAAGACTTCCTGTAAAAAATTTTCAATCCAACAAACTAAAGTGCAGGAGTTAATGTAAGTGCATTTAGCCGTGAGCAGGCATAAGAAGGCATCAGGGAGCCCCCATGTGTTTGTGTTCTCAGATCTGTGTCTTGGTTGCTATGGGCTGTGGAAGATGGGGAGCGTGGGAGGGACTGTCAGCATTGCTGACTATCTCCATGTGGCTTTATTCTTCTTGATGTAACAGTGTCAGCAAACCCTGGCCTCAGTAAGGCCACCTAGTGGAGGATTGTTAATTTTGGGTTTTCTTTCTATTTTCCTCTAAAATTACATGTAAGCAGATCCTCACATGCTTTGAAGTGGTGCATCAAAGGATATTTTGTCAAACCTTTTTTAAAGTTGTGTTTTTATTGTAGATCATAGAAAAAACCTGAATTCAGAGAACACAATAATGTTAATTAAAAAATGCATCTATATATAAATGTATCTTGAAAAAGAGTAAAGGCATATATAAAAAAAAAAAAGTGTTACTCTGTTATTTCTCAGTTTGTTTGAAAAGTGATTATATTTTCTAATCAACTGCTTTTTTAAACCGCACAACTTGGGTTATTTAAGGTCATATCTAATCCGGCCTGGGTTTGCATCAATAAGGTTGACTTATGGGTTTAATCCAGCATACCAGGCTCGGTCTCCCAATCAAAAAGGGTTAGAGGGACTGATGCACAATATTAAAGTTGGATAAAAACTTATATCCCACATTAGTAAAAATGTTTAAATTTTTTGCCTGATTTTACATAAATTATTGGATGAAAATAATGCCTCATGTTGCATTCATTCATTCATTCATTCACTGAAGATTATTTATCCAGGGAAGACATTGTTAAACTATGGCCCCTGGCTTTGTAGTCGCAGGCTATTTTCCATCCCTACTTCCTGTTTGTGCTTTTTGATGAAACTGTGAATTAAACGTCTAAGATATAAATGACTTACAATTTCATCATACTGTAAACAAATGTTTTTGGGGATGGTTTATAAAAGGTTTTTCCAACATGCTTCAACTTGACCAAATCCTACTTGTGTTGTCTCCAATTTGTCATCTTACAGTGCCTTTTTGGCACAGTGTATAGCAGTTAATCAGCATATCTAATGTTTGATTTAACCTCACATTTGATTTCCAAAGACACGTATTAATCTCCACATAGCTTCATGATGCAGTTGTGAACACAGAATTAAAAAGACAGACTTCTTGTTCCTCAGCAGACGTCTTATAATTGAGTTCATCTGACAGGGCAATGATTCTCTTGACCTGAAATCTAATTATACAACCCTTTCACAATTTAATGTCCTTGAAAATTAATTAAGCTATTATTGTAAGCGTATTATCTCGCACTAAGAATTTCTTTGCATTCCTCTTTTTTATTCAGATCCTCTTTTCGCCCGCATTAATTGTAATAGATTTGTTTGTTTTTTTGCTGCTCTGACTCTATATATGGGGGATTGATCAGTCAGAAAGTAATATTAAGTTTTTCTGATTTCTGAAGATAGCCCTCCCCTCTTTTTTTTTGGGTGTATTTTCATGTTAATGTTTTTTCTGTCTTGTTGGGTTCTTTTTAGTACATCTTATTTCTTCTCCAGAGAAACAGAAAGTGACTGTCCACTAGTAAAAACTCCTTAACATTCAGATTTGTCTATGGTATACATAAAAAAGTGTTTCAATTACATTGATTTTAAATGAATTTTAGGAACGCCACTAAAAGAATATAATGAATAAATGTATTATTTAATACTATATTCATGTATTACGTAACAAAAGAACAAGAGATTTTTTAACTTTTAAAAATTTTAACAGAAATTGAACAAGTTTTTTGTAAGTGATTGAAAAAAAATACAAATAATACAAAGAGAAAGTTTGTCCTACTTCTATTTTGTTTGTGATTGTATGTTTTAGTAGTTGTAGTTGTTTATTTCCTTTGTTCAATAAACTATAGAGGTTCCAAACCCTCGATACTAGATAATATTCAAAAATCAACGTTGTTCATAGATGCAAATTTGGACAAACACCAAAGACTTTATCAAACAGTTAACCTTTAAAGTGGTATACACAGGAAAACAAAACAAAAAATGGATTGCAAAATCATTTTATTTAAGTCACACAGAAAACATTTTCTCTCCTCCACTGGACCTGAATCAAATCATCCAATTTCTAATGCTAGAGGTAAAGTAGTGGATCTGAGCTGTGCACACACTGATCTATAGCTAAGTTAAGTATATAAGGCTCTGGACCATAAACATTTTTTTTTAATGAAAGTATATATTCCTAACTCTGGTTTGTACAACATATTATAAGCCCATTTACACTTTATCAACACCAAAGTAAGAAATATTACATCAGCTTACCCCTTAAATGTCTAATGAGCCTTTTCAAATACCCTATCCACATGTCTAGGCCAGGTGTATTTGTTGGAGAAGTCCCAGTTAAGGATCTGTTCATAAACCTCTTAACGTTTCCATCCTATATCTCCATTTAAAGCCAGTTAGATGTGCTTCTATGTCCACCTAAAAAGGGAAAGGCTGTGTACTGGACTTTGTGACCATAGGCCTGTAAACAGTTAACACCAAACCTGCGTATTTGTAGTCTACAGCAGGAAAGATGTATAATCTATTCAATTCCATTATGTTTAATAGCTTTTTTTGAAGGCTTTTATTATGTCGTAAAATTTTAAATATTGATCCAGAATCAATCCCAAGTATGTATATTTCTTAATTTCTTACTAGTAGAAAAAAAGGGTTATAAGCAACTTCAAATTTGTGAAAGTCTATCTTTAACATAATTTTGCTGCAACAGAAATACCATTTTTTTTCAATCAGTTTTTGAAGATTGGCTGAATTCTCAAAAATAAGTACAAGATCATCAGCATACAGTTATATTAAGATTCTTAAATCTCCTACACTTTCGTCCCCACTTAAATTGCATTTAGCAAGTTGTTTATTTATATAGTGAAAATAGTATAGGAGACCAGCCTGTTTTATAGTCATTTACAGAGTTATAGATTTTTCCTTAATTCCTGCTGTTAGAAACTCACAGTTACCACATGAACAAAGGCTCTCTGAAATGGTATAAAACATACAAAAGTAGATTTTATTTCTTCTTTCTTGCCGTTATAATATTTAGCTAAAGTACAAAACCATTTTTTTTCTCTGCCAGTAAATTATAAGATTCCAAATAACTACGTGAATAGCTGCATTCATTCATTGCCGTCATGTACAGCTGCGTTGGTTGTAAAAATGAATCCAGATTTAGTGGAACATTTTACTCCCCTGTTCTCTCTTGCTTCCCTTACAGCTGCTGTACTGAAATATGAAAATAACGTCATGAACATTCGACAGTTCAACTGTTCGCCACACCCCTACTGGCTGCCCAACTTCATGGACGTCTTTACCTGGTCACTGCCATTTGTTGGAGAAAAAGGTGGAAACTTCCTCACATTTTTTAGGCAGTGTATCTCTATATCATGACATCATTTTGCTCAGTGATTACCTGTTTACTTTCCATATTTTCCTCCACAGTCACCGAAATGTTGGTGAACGTGTTAAGCATCTGCTCTGATGATGAACTCATGAATGATGAAGATGAGATATTTGATGGTGAGAGGTCTTAAGAAGACCCATTTCATAATTCATCTTTTATATTTCTCACGGGCACATTGTGGGTTCAGGGTTGACCTAGATCTGTACAGAACGAAAATCTTCCCACATTGCTGTTCAAAGGTAAAAAAAAAAACAAGGTTTCAAAAAGGTTGAGAGCTACATGTTAGGAAATACATTTAGATCTCTAACCTTACTTGTTTCTAGTTTGTTTTAATGAATGTAAATATGTTTGGGGTTTATCTTTTATGCATTTATTGAAAAGAAAAATATACGCATTTAATCTGCTTTTTTTTTTAAGAAGGTTCAAGCAGAGAAAAATAGTCTGAATCTGACCTTGGGTTATTGATTGGAGCACATTTACCTAGAATACATCCTGGAAAATGTCACCTAATTTCAATTTGGCTTGAAATTAAGACAAACTAAGAAAATGAAATGTTATTTCAGAGTTGAATAATTCATTGTGTGTTTGTAATAACCGCATCTAATGGATTTTCTCTTATTTTTTACAGCTAATGCGGCTGCGGCCCGCAAAGAAGTGATCAGAAACAAGATCCGTGCTATTGGAAAAATGGCCAAAATGTTCTCAGTTCTCAGGTAGACGTTTAGTTTCAGTGTCTGTTGGTGAATGGAGGCGTGATTATTAAGTATATATTGAAACTCAGACTTTATATTACATAATTTTCTGCGAATGAATGTGTAGAATGTGGGGGTTAAAGTTGTTTTTTTTTTTTTTCCTGCAGTCTGATCCGGGTTCAGCATAGCTCTCTGACCTGCTTGCTTGTTTCTGTTGTTCCTGCAGAGAGGAGAGTGAAAATGTGTTGACGCTTAAGGGCCTGACTCCCACTGGCATGTTGCCAAGCGGGGTTCTCTCTGGAGGCAGACAGACACTGCAGAGCGGTGAGCACAAGGCCCAGACTAAACCTTTTCCTCCAGCACTGACTCTTTTTTCTGTTTGTTCTTGTCCTCATCAGCATTCTCATTTCTTCCATTGCTCTTATCTACTTCCCTATCTGTCTTTCTCCCTTCCTTAAACAGAGAGCAGCCAGTGAATGCTTTTTTAGTCTCTTGTTGGGTCTCCTCCTCTTATTCATTAGAACCTTATGCAGTAAAATTTGAATTTTAAGTGTTAGAGCTGTCAATGTAGAGTTTGCACTTTTTCTGGATGGGATCTGTAAAGATTTAATTCGCACCTTGTATACTTGTTGCAGAAAGCCTTTCCAATACTACAATCTCATTAAAACCTTCTGAAAAAGTTTTAAATTAGTTGTTTAAAGATGGTTAAAATATGCATTGGGGTTATCCCTACATAGGATATTTATTAGCTTTAGTCTTTATTAACTGGTCATATAAATCTGCAAAGTCTGAACAATGAAAGATTATTTATAGCTACGAGTTGTCTTTCCCAGGTAATACTAAAAGCTAATGTGCATAATTAACACAATAAAGAAAAGCAGAAATGAAATAAAAAAGAAAAACATTTCTATTAACTCTCTGATTTATTAGCTTAGCATTTAGCTAGATTGTTTAGCTTTTATTAACCTTACCAAACCTGGCCCTCATTCAGCACACTTTCCACCTCAGTTTGGTGCATTTTTGCAAAACAAGGCTTTGGAATGGGTGTAAGTTGTCCTTAAATAACTAAAGCTTTTTTTTTTGTTTTGTTTTGTTTTCCACAGAAAAATATAATGAATCAGCTTTGAATTTTTAGCCAAGGTAAAATGGACTGAGCTGTAGCCTGATCATTAGATTTTAGACTGGATATTAGTTTGGGTCTAAGGTGCCCCTATTGAAATGCAATATTTAAGGTGGTAGTAAGTAGTAAGTTGGGAATTTGAGCCAATATTCATAATAGAGAAAACATGAAGCAGTAAAAAATCTTTTCAGCAGTGGCCAGGCTATCAAAAGTATTTCACAATACCCTGAAATCTTTTCTATAACATCACAAAAAAAAAAAAAATTAAAAACAAGCTCTATAGCACTGCAGGTTGCACTAACCTCAGTTAAGGTCTGGCTTCATGATTCATCAATACAAGAATTAGCTAAGGACAACATGATAATTGCCAGAAGTTTAAGAAAAATCTTCAATAGCATACTCCATTGAATATTTTAGAAGGGGAGGTATAAATCCTTAAATCTAATTGAAAGACTTTGGCATGAATATTACCCAACCTGGAAAGTCTTTTAACGGCGCGAAAAGAGCTTTGGTTGGCAGTAGTTTGAGGTTTAGGGGGATGACTACTTTTTAAGCAGATATGTACAGTGTTTTTCCCTTATTAAACAAAATCACTGTTATTCAGGTTATCTTGGTGTACTTCATTGATATTGATGAGTTAAAACATCCCGGTGCAACAAAGACATCAAACACTTATCTTTTATGAATAACTTTATAAAATGAATGAAGAAAATCATATCAGTGTAGAGTAATTAGGACCCTATTAGTCAGGATCAGAAATACCAGAATATTGAAAATATTCAGGAAAGAGAAACAAATCCCGCAATTCCCCCCAAAAAAGGTGGAAACAAATTCAATTTATATTATTTACATTGAAATAAACTAATTGTAGTTTTGAAGGCAGAATCAAATTCCCATTATTTTGATGAAACTTGTATCTGCTTGTTGCCTTAAGGGCTGATTCTGTTTGATATTAGATTTAAAATGAACATGCTTTAAAGGATTTTGTTTTATTTTGTGGTGGAAATAAAAATTATATGTTTGTAATACAATATAAACAGTCTGTATTCTTTTACATATTACATTTAATCCAAAACTGCACAAGGTTAAAGAGGGTCAAGGCATGGATGTAGTGATGATGAGTTCATGCTTCCAATCATCAACAGGGTTTAAGCACTAAGAAAAACTAAAATAAACAGAATCAAGCATTTGCTCTGTCAGCAAAAGGATCACTACTCTGGATCCGTTCTTTTTTATTGTTTTTAAGGGAATGGTATCAGAAAACTTTCAACACTAATTATATTTATCCCTGAGATGGTGCTGAAAGTAATTCTCCATGTACCCCTTCTGTTTTCTTCCAATGTCAGTTATATGTATAAAAAAAACAACTTTTTGTTAACATTTGAACTGCGTAGTATCCCATATTAGTGATTAGCACAGATTTTTTTTTTCAAATTTCTAGGCCTGAAATTCCAAAGATATTTACAATATATCCAGCTATTTTATGTTGCATGGCCGACAGAGAGCTTCAAAGGGCATTTAGCCTTCCTGCTATCTACTAATTTTTGGTTCAGAGATAGTCACTCCTTCAACATTTGGACAAAACATCCTGAAGATGGATAGAATTTGATCCTCTGTGTTAAATTGATATTTTTATACCTAAAAAAATCCAGGCATGACAAGACTTAAACTGTGAAAGTACAAAATGACCAGTCTCACCCAAAGTCCCACTTTCTGTTGTTGCAACCAGAATGATCAGCAAGCATGCCTCTTTAGAAAATATATTTTTTAATGGTTCCTCTCTGACTTCATTTTGATACATTTCACTCTTCTACTCCAAAAAGTGCTGTGGTTAGTGGTAGTGTTTATGTACGGTTAATTTAAATATCACAGAAAGATCTTTATCTTTGTTATTGACTGGCTTATCTCTGATTCTGGCCAGTGAGGCAAAAATTCATCGATTTCTGGTCACTAGCTGATTTTCAGGGTAAATCCTTGATAATAACTGTGTAATTATTGCTATTCCTTGGAATTTTGCAGAGAAATAAACCAATGGGAGAACTCGCTTTTTAAATAAAGATTATTTTTTATAATTGTTTTTAATAATCATAAGGACCAGATGAATTCACTCGGATAAGGATCTTGCTTGAGAACAGTTAAGGTTTTTTTTATATCCAAAAAAATTATCTAATCCAAAGACCCAATAAAAAAAGCATGAAAAACACAGTATCCTCTCCTTAAACGGTACAAAGTGTTAAAAGTAAGGTGCTCTCGGGTTTTTGTCTGTCATCTCAGCCCCCACCTTTCTGTCACTTCATGTCTGTGTCTCTCTTTGTGGATCTATCTGTGTGACTTTTCATAAGAACTTTCTAACCCCAGATTGACATTAACTCAGTTTAAATGCATGGCATTCCTCTGAGTTTGGCTTCAGTGATAATGAACATGTACAGCTCATCTGGCCAAAAACATGAGACGCCTTCTCCCTGGGGCTGCATCGTACATTTGCATGGCTTTATCAGGAGTAACCTGCTCCCCTCCTCCCCCCTTCAGCAACCATTGAAGCCATTGAAGCCATCGAGACGCATGATGAGGACAGAGAAGGTAAAACTAGTGCTCCCTTTGCTTTAACTGTTATCAGGGTGTCCTGCTTTAAAAATCCTGTTTTTGGAGAACTGCTAACACAATATTGAGCTCACTATTAACTTTTTTCTTTGGAAGCATTGCTTTTGCTTATTAAGAAGTGAAGTAGCTAAAAAATGGTTAATCAAACTAATGAGAATTAAAGATGTATGGAAAATGTATTTTTCTTAAAATAATACTGTTAGGTGTTATGTAAATAAAGCCAAATGATTAAAGATGATTTAACCTACTTTTCAAAGCAATAAAGGTGTTAAGGTGAAAGGTATTTTTGATTCCTAGCTTTTCAAAGGTATTTATATGCCATCATGTTTCTGGTGATAAATGACAATCGTAATCACAAATTTCAAGGCATATTTTATTGTAGTTTGATGAAAATTCTGTAAAATTTGCCAAATTTGAAATCAAATTGAATCAACGAAATGTGAGTACCTTCAGATGTCCCTTTTTGGGTAATTCACTTTCATCACATATGGCTGTTTAAGAACATTTGAACACAGACAGCATAATAAGGACCAATCACTCCTGAACAGGTGAGGGAAAAAAGAGAAGTTTAAAGTGTTGAGGATGTGTTTCTGATTTCATTTGCATTAAAACCACACAGCAGGACATGCCAGGTGGTTCCGAGTTATTATGAGTCAAACTTATATAATGGGATTGATGGAAACATTGAATTGTTTTGTGTGGTTTAACCATTAGCCATTTTAAGCTCAGGAGAAGGTAGTGATGCTGAGGAATATGGAGGCATCCATCCTTACAGGCCATCAAGATCAGACCCCCAGCCTACAGAGTCAGACTCTGAGTCGGAGGGTGACGGCTAATATGAACACAGCAGCCCCGGTAGAAAACACCCAGCAGGGAAACACGGCTTGCTACGCCTCTGGTACAGATAGTGTAACCAGTTATTAGTTTATAAAATATAAATTAGTATATAATACTTTAAATGAACATGATTTTCAAATAAATCTTCCACCGCTATTACAAGAAATCATCTAGTATATTTTAAAGGTATATCTAGCAACTCACCAGTCCTTTAATGCCAGGGTTGTCAGATCTGTATCAATCCTGCCGCCTCTTTCAGTCTGCTCATCAAACAGTGTTTTATTTGTTAACGGTAAAATAAAAAAGGCTATTTTAAAGATTTTTTTCAGGGAAAACTTAAATAATGTCTCTATAAAATGTTTTTTTTCTTGAAGGACATGATACAGAAATGTCCAAAAAGATAATAAAATAATGTAAAGGACTCTCAAATTTAATAATACAAAGTATTTTATTTTAACATATAATAAAAAATTGTCTTTTAGCCTTTTCAGTAATGAATAGAAATACAAATCCTTTTGGACTTTAAACCTTAATCTGCCCAGGATATGAATACGATGTGATCCAAATGTGTATTTTTTTAAAGATGAATAAGTGTTGAAAATGGATGTTAACAGATGCTCCTCGTCTAGACTAACTGAACTTTAGCTATTTTGCAAAGAATACAGTGTAATATTTTGTCCATTGCACTGCAAAGCTGGCACGTTTCAGCCCGATGGTGGATATTAATGCATGGCACATTTTGCAACTGTTACTTGGAAAAAATAAAGAGAAAACCAGTGGGTTTTTTTTGTTTGATTTTCAAGTATGGCAGACTTCTTCTTTATGGAATTTCCAAATAAAATGTGTTTATGCTGCTAATGAGGTACTGTAGAATCTGAAGATGCATGAAAATATGTTTGCTACACACTGTGGCTACATTTCAGGGAAGAATACTTGCTCTATAAAATGTTTAGTCAGGTCTGTCAAGAATTGATGGTAAAATAAATTACAATGTGCTGAACGAAGCTCCAACTACAATGAACTTTTGCCACCAGAGGCTTTGCTTTATATAGGGTAGATGTGAAGCAGGACTGAACTTGGAAAGAGGGAAAATTGCTAATTTAAAATTCTTTTTCATGATAAATTAAAACCCTGCAAAACCAGAAAACTGCTACTAGTAAATGCAGAAGTAAAATGTTGTTGTTTAGTGATTGGATTATTAATGACATCCACCTGTTCTTAAAAGGTGATGCAAGAGCAAGAAAAAATTAACCTGACAACAGCCAGATGCATGTCTCGCTCCAGCGAGACATGCATCTGGCTGTTGTCAGGTTAAGAAAAAATAGCCAGATTGCATATTTTTAAAGCTCTGTGCTTTGTCTTGTTTTATACAATAAAAGTTAGTAAAACAGGTAATATTGTTTTAATTCTTTTTTAATTAAAAATATTATGATAAAGACCTAAATGGTTTAATTTTATTTAATTAATGTTCTCTTTTTGCTGAAAATGAAAACTAAGATCAACTATTGTATTTTTGGTTTGAGTTGCTGTCCTAACTGAAGCACATGTGAGTAGAATGTAAGCCATGATAGCAGTATGCCTTTTACTAGCATTCTGCAGTTTAATTAAATTGTCGATTATTAGAAACCACAATATTATTAGCAAATGTATGTTGAATTATATTTGCATTTTCAAAGCTGTGTCAAATTGTGCCATTTCATTTTAATAAGCATAGAACATTTTGAACATAATTTTGTAACTTGAGTGTTGTCCAAAATTAACATTGCTCATGATGCAATCGTATGTGAAACAGTTAAAAAAGGCAGTTACGTACAGTAGTTATCTGTGGATCAGACCAGTGGGAAGATGGCAATTGACTGTGCATGCAGCAATCAAGCTGGGCAGCCCCTCAGAATGGGTAATGATGATGATATACTGTAAGGGAAATTGGTATAGGGAATGGTAGTCATTATTCTCGATTGTCACTCTTACATGTGATATTTAAGGAAAGAAAATAAATAATTGTTTTTTGGTTTTGTAAGTAGGATGACAGAGCCCTTAAAGTGTAAAGTCAGGATTATCAAATGTAGTGGAGGAAACACTTTTAAATCATATGCGTGAATGCACAGTAGTAAATCTTATGCCTATTGATTACTTGCACATATAGCAGCAACAGGTAGTTTTATTTTAATAATCTTGGTCATGATTGTCATGGCAGTTATGAAATTGTAGTGACTGGCCTTGTCATTTGTATACATTTTATTTTCTAAGAGGGCAGATACTACAAGATGCGAGGTAAAACAGTTTTAAAAATGAAAAGAATTTTCAAAAGTTTATATTCATTTAGGAATTTCTCTAATATATTGAGGGTCAAAAGCATACAAGTAGGGCAGTGGTGGTAAGGGGTAGAGTGTAATTTATAAAGAACATTCTGAGACCTGGACAAAGCAGTAATGGATTCAAGTGTCAACCCAGAGACATGTCTTCACTATAGTCTCAATTCTTTCCTGTCATACAACCTTTAGCTTAAAACACTAAGACCTGGACAAAGCAGTAATGGATTCAAGTCTCAACCCAGAGACATGTCTTCACTATAGTCTCAATTCTTTCCTGTCATACAACCTTTAGCTTAAAACACAAAAAAAGCTGAAATATTTGTAAACCATACATTTTCATAGTGATCAGCAACATTGCACCATATTTTTTTTATCTATATTTGGCCACTCCTCTTATGTAGAGTGGGGGAACTAATTTTTAATGTGATTGATTTCCTAGCATGGACCTAGATTTTATGTGTGCTCTATACATTTTCAGGTAAAGGACACTTAAGAGGCTTACTGTTCTTCTTTAGTTATTCTGAAACAAGTTATTGTGTGTATTAGAGATTACGCTCTCTATTGTGTCCCAATGTAACAGATTAGTTGTTGAGATGTGGTGAAATAAAACAATGTCATGGAAGTACTCACTGATACAACATTATCAGAAGTGGCAAAACAAACCCATAGTATGATCCTTCTACTGCCATGCTTGACTGGTGCTACAATGTTTGTGCGTTTGGAAGTCTCTTCTTTTCTTCAAACAGTATTTGTAATTTTGGCAGTATGGCTCAATCCCCATCTTTTATTTTGTTAAAGACTTTTTTCCAAACAATATTTGTATATGTGGGTAGCTGCAAATCAACATCAACATTGTAAATGGTAGTTTTTGAGAACAGTCTTCCTTAAGGCACTGTCTTAGATCACGTTGGTGTTAAGCATACTTCACTATGATGAGTAATACTACTGTTCTGGCTAAAGATTTTCAACATAAGGGGTGCGGCCTCCTAGTTGGTTACAGAGATACTGCAGAGTGGTCTTGAATTCTTTCACCACGGCAGACAGCTAAAGCCATTGGGTCTGTGCCAGGCTTAAAAATGAAAAATTGTTTTTGCAGTATTCTGCTTTAGCTTGGACACGGTTGTGGGGGGCAGCAGTCTCAGCAGAAACTCCCAGACTTCACACTCCCAAGAAATCTTCTTGAGTTCTGCTGGGGGAAGTCTGAGGCGCTCTCAGGACAGCCAACAGACATAGTTCCTCTAGCATGTCCTAGGTCTTTCCATGGTACCCACAAGGAGAAGGCCCCATGGCCCTTTCCTGGAACACCTTCAACAGAAGGCCTCAAGGGGGCATCCGAAAAAGAGGTCTGAGTCCACTAAGCTGACTGGAGGAGAAGCAGCTATACTCCAAGCCTCTCCAGGATGATCAGGCATCTCACCCTATCTCTAAGAGAGTGCCCAGCCACCCTGTGGAGAAAGCTAATTTCAGGTGCTTTTATCTGTGATTCTTTTGGTCATGATCTAGCTTTCATGACCATAGGTGAGGGTAGGAACATAGACCATACCAAAAGCTCTTGGTAAATCAATAGCTTTGCTTTTTCGGTCAGCTCTCTCTGTTCACCACAACACACCGGTGTGGCAATATAGCAGCAACAACACCGATCCATCTATTGATCTATACTTCATTCTTCACTCACTTGTGGATAGGACCCCACAATACAAGAATTCCTTTACTTGAGGCTGGAACTCTCCTCAAACCTGAAGAAACCTTTTTCGAGAACCATGGTCTTGAACTTGGATGAACTGATTCTCATCAAGGCCGCTTCACATTCAGCTGTGAATCACTCATTGTATACTTTAGGTCTTGGCATACGGGAGTCTGGAGAACCATGCTATCTGCATAAAGCAGGGACAAAATTATCTGGTCCCCAGATCAGACCCCCTCCGGCCCTTGGCTATACCTATAAATCATGTCCATAAAGGTTATGAACATTATTGTTATGAGAAATCTAACATGCAACGTAACAGGTCCAATTTTATGCTGGCAATGCAGGCTTAACTCCTTCTCTGCTTGTACAGAGACCTAGTACACCTAGTAAACAGCACTCAACTCTGTACACCTAGAGCATCCCTCACAATGCACAACAAGAGACACAATCAAAAGTCTTCTCCAGGTCCAGAAAACACGTGTGACTGGTTTGGTAAACTAATGAACCCTCGAGTAAATTGCAGAGGGTGTAGAGCTGGCCCAGTTTTCCAAGGTAAGAATATAAACCACATTGCTCCTGATGAGGACCTTGTCCAACAATCAGCCAGACTCTCCTCTCCAGCACCCTGGCATAAGCTTTCCCTGGAGGCTGAGAAGTGTGATCCCACACAAGTTGGAAAAATCCCGTCCGTCTATCTCCTTTAGCAGGGGAACCACCAAACCAGTCTGCCAGTCCAAGGGCACTGTCCATGACCTCCATGCAATTTTAAAGACTTGTGTCAGACTCAACAGCCTGACAACATCCAGAGGAATACCTCAAACTAGTGTTGGAGTCAAGACCACAACAAACAAGACCAAGCACTACGAAGCTGAGGGCAAGAACTTAAGAGGCCTAGACCAAGACAAGACCAAGATATTTTGAGGCAGAGACGCAGAAAAGACCAAGACCTTATATGTTCTTTGTCTTGGCCCTTAAATGTCTTGGTCTTGTCTTTATCTCGATCTCTAAAGGTTGGGTTTGCATTGGTCTCAGTACTCCTTGGTCTCAGCTGGTCTGGTCTTGACAACAATACTTCCTCAAACATCTTCAGCTTCCCATTAAATCAACTGCCTTATTTTTGCCGGATAACCTCTTTAGATATGGTTCATTGATACATCATAACATTTGTGCATCAACGATTATACAAATAAAATTCCAACTTGTGCTCCTAGTTGAAGATTTTTTCAATTACATAATGAAAAGCACTTTCATGGCCATGATGAGTATATGTCTTATTTGAGTTGTTATGAAACCTGCCATAGAGCCTGGAGTGTCCTGAGATATTTATGACATGACCCTGACCCTTTGTTTCCTCCTCTACAGCTATTCGAGGGTTCTCCCCCCAGCACAAGATCACCAGCTTCGAGGAGGCTAAGGGCTTAGACCGCATCAATGAGCGCATGCCACCACGCAAGGATGGAGTTAACCATGTGGGCCACTCCATGGGCAAGATGAATATGTCGGAGGCAAATGGCACAGAAGACAACAGCAATATCCAGTGATGTGCTGTCTGAGCCACAGACTCTGTGCCACTGTTTCAGCCATGCAGCAGGACTTTGCTTAATGGGAAATTAAGGCCTCAGAACACAAAAAACCAAACAGGCCCACCGCTAGAACATGAAACCTGCAGCAAATTTTAACACCAGGCGAAAAAGGTCATTTATTTCATGGCGGCGTGTCATTGCACTGTTAGGGGGAGGGGGGGAGCTGGGGTTTAAAGCAAAGGGACAGGGATACAGAGAGACCAAAGGCTGCAGCAAAGAAGTGCTTTTGGAAGTTGTTTCTGACTGTAGTTCCCCTTCTCAATTCGATTACAGACTGAATTATTGGGAGTGTTGTTGCTGTGAATGCTCTCACACACATGTGCTCCTTCATTACAGGGCCTGGCGGAAGACGTAAGTGCAGTATCCATGCCTCACAAATCATTTTAATGTTTTATAAAGTATTTATTATGAATCACTCACAAATGCACTTCAAGAGGAAATAATCTACTTATCTAATTGTTTTTTTGCTAGTATTAGGTCATGTCACTTTGTGAGAGAAAACAAGAAAGAAAACAGGAGAGAAGTAAAAAAGTAAAATGTGTACCTCTTTGAAACCTGCAGCATGCCATTTTACCAGTGGACTTGAATTTATTGATTTACCTTGTTGTAAAATGCTGCCAAACTGCAAGTTAAAAAGAGGACAGGGTGCTTATGTTTGCTTGCCACTGAAAAACCTGTGTAGCTCCACATCCATCTCAGCTATGTCTTAGTAAACTCCAGCATTGCTTCATTCCTCTAGCCATCTTCCCAGATGAAACTAAGAGGAGAAGAAGCGGGTTTCCTGAAGGTACTTTAGAATAGCAAAATACAGAGATTTGACATCAAATTAAGTCTATTTTATTCCTTTCAAATTCCAGTCTAAAGGTTCTATTGCAGTACCTCTCTCAAAGCAGAAATTCACATAGGCATGGGCTGGTATAAGATTCTCAAGGTAGCGACCCAAAGATTTTACATGTGATCTAATTCTTATTATTTGAAACAAAGATGGAACAGATTTGATTTTATTTGGCAAGGACTTTTTACACTAATATCATTGCTGTAACTATACCAGATTTTGCAGAAAGGGTGTTTTCATCTAGTAAATGCAACATGTATCCCTTCACAAATTCAATTAAACGTATACATAATAACAAAACTTAGTTTTAAGTGCATATCACAAAGAATTAAATGAGTTACATAAATAAAAGAAGTAGATATTAGATGGTTTGTTAGTAACGTGTAGTAGAGTATGAGCCTTCCTGCCTACCAGTAAGCAGCTCAGAGCTAGGAAACCTATTTTACAAAAATATTTCCAATCTAGCCAATTTGTTTTCTTTCAGCCAGCTGACCAGTTGTGCGCAGCCACTGTAGGGGACAGGCAGCAGTAAATCACTCTGTTCCTGTTCAGACTTCAAAACAGTGCAATTGTAAATTTAACCAGATTAAGCATTGTGGTTTTTGGATACTCGCTATGCCTTGATGTATCCTAGCCAGCCAATGCCATATTTACATTAAAACGACACTCCATTGAATACGGATCTCACCCTAGAAAAAATAAACAAAACCTAGACAGTTTGTTTTCAGGTTTAAATGGTTTACTCCTTTTTGAACATAATCTATCATCTACAAAAACTCTAATTTCAGAGGAAAATAATTAATGTGTGTTTGACACCCTGCTGTCAATATTTGTAAACTATTTCTCCCCTGTGTTTAAACAGTGAGTTAAGCATACATCAGCATCCTGGAGGTTTTGCACTTTTTGCTTTTTTTTTTTTTTTAAACATTCCTATATTTTATGCCTGCAAAAAGTAAAATGAAGTATGTTCTAAAAGAGTCAATTAATCATAAACAATATCAGTACTGTTATTCATAATCTAAAGCCTTAGATAGGTGAAATTAATGGACTGAGGCCCTGTCCATATTGACATGGGATGTTGCAAAACTAAAATTGTCTCCTGAATTTGCAATCCCCCCAGTCCTCCTGGGTGAGAAATACATTAACCTTTTCTTTTCTTCTCTTTTGTTTTTTGAAAAGTCTAAGAAAATACAAGAAACGATTGATTTGAATAGTCTTTAGCCTAGAACTGCTTTAATCAAGCTCAGGACATTATTTTAATGCCGTTGTTGCCAACATCACCGCCACCTGCTGGCCCAGTGTAGATATAACAGCATCTTTATTTGGAATCCCATAGCCTGTATAGTCTGAAACTAAAATGAAGAGGAAAAGATCAGTTTAAAAATGTTTTTATCCAAAGTAGTCTAGAAGGGCCTTAATGAAAGGTCTAAGAAAATATGCCTTTTCAGTTTGTACAAAAATCCATCACTGATTTGGTAAAAATAATCAGTAGTACTTTCCTTGTGACAAAGACGCATACAGCAGGTCATGTTTATGGAGTGAGAAAAAAATGTATTCAAAATTTCAGAATACATTTAACTTCATTCATGCTCACTGTATGGTATTAACAAAACAGGAAAAGTAGAAAACAAATAACATGTAAAGCCTCACTGTGATCTAAATGCAAAATCCTTATGCCTAATCAATGTATGAAAATTAAGTCTGAAAAACGTCTAGAATAGTGAACATTCTCTAAAATGATCTATGTTAGAAATACTTTTGGGATGCAACCCCTGTGACAAATTTCTAGAATTTTAATCATTCATTATTCTTTTCCTGGTTTGGATCCCATCTTTCTTTTCAGCAATGAAGGTATGTGAATGAAAGATGGACAAAAGTGACTTAACACAGCATCTATGGTATGGAACGCATCAATGCATGCAGTTAAGTTCCTAGTTGTTATGTGAGATTATAATTGTGATAGTTGTGTTTCATATAGTAAACTTGAATTTTATTTATTTTTGGATTATATTTGTAGTTTTGTCTTGTTTTCTAAGATTTTCTAAATAGGCTTTCTTTGATTGTTTTTGGTCCATTTTTTTTTGCTTTAAGTTTGTTATTTATTACCACTGCTTTTAATTTTTATATTCATTTCTTGTATGCAGAGATGCCCTTCTAAGGTGTGAAGCCTTGTGCTATATATACAAATTTTTTCTGTTGTACTGATGTACAGAAAATGTTCAATAGTGTGAATGAATATAATCTCAGTGAAAAGCTACTCTTTCAGGCTGCCAAAGCATGATAGCATGGTTTTCTCAAATGTAAATGAACTGGACACACAGAAAAATCAGGTGTCACACCTTTAACAGGACACATTGTATTCTGGTTATATTTACTGCTGATATTATTATTGTTACGATTTAGCTTATGGTTCTTTTCATTCTTTGGTTTCTCGTATAGTCAAAATGCATAATTCAACAGAGAGATATAATGGATTTTATCTTGCAACATTTTTTATCTATGGAGATATGTTTTGGCATTTGACTTCCTAAATAATACACACACTGTAAGCATGCCCTATGGGACAAATCACATTTTTTTACTCTTGAATAAAATATGCATGAACAAATTTTGTTGTGCAATTTTTACAACCCTAGTGAAATATTTCTTGTGCTTCGGGCACAGCAAAAACAAACTGAAATGAATTATATTTTAACTTTTTTTCACGTTAATGGTTTCTCAGGACCCCAAATTTGATGCAACTATATGTAAGCAAGGTAGAGGGTGCTTAGTTATGAAGGTATATGATGCTTCGAAATGTACACATTCAAGGAGACCCTTCCAATGCAGATGGTCCATTTAGAAACTGTTTTAATTAACAAAGATGAAATTAAGTGAACTTTAACTTCTTGGTATTTCTATGTCAGTTTTTCAGGGATCCCCTTCTACTGTACATTACCAAGCAATCTATTGAACGTAGAATTATTTGAGTGTGCGTTTTTAGGTGTATACATTTAAGCTTAAATCTATTTTTAGATTAAAAAAAATATTAATCAAGCTCAATGTAGCTGTTTTATTTATATTGATTTAAAAAGAGAAAAGCCAGTCATAATGATTGGTAGTAGTATTGATAGTAGTAGTCATACATCTATAATTGCTGACTAGGTTTTCACATGTGTCCACTAACACTTTGATGAACTTTAGCTCTTTGACATTAGAATGACTCTTTAATACTTACCTACTCCTTTCGTCCCTTAACAGATTTGTTATGAATCCAGTCAGGTCTGGCTGGAGGATTGGCTGGATTGGGGCTTTATCATCTGGGTCAATCTAGATCTACAGGTCTGTCTAGATTTACTGTGATAAAAGGTATTAGGTTGCTATTGAGACTTGGTGAACCCAAATAGGACACTCTTTAGTGCAATTATTTGTTTATTTGTGTTTAACTCAGGTACAGCTGTTTTAGATATTGCTCTGACTAAATATGAGCACAGTTAGGTGAGTAGGTGAGTTTCATTTCTTCACTTAACTACCAGTATACATCTGTTTCATTTGAATAATATGCTTTTTTTTTTTTGCTTTCCCATTGTGAATGACGGGGGATCCTGTCCCATGACACGTTTAAAACCCAGAGAAACAAGAAGTCTAAAGATTTCTAAATAAACTGACCAACTTTTATCAGTAAAAAAACAATTTAAAAATGAAAGAAGTAATTTAAATTAGAAATCATATGAGGTACTGAAAAGAGGAAAGGGAATCCAGACAAGGTGAAAGCCAATATTAGACTTTATGGTAATTTTGTATACACAGACTGTATACAAAACAACGTTTCCCTTGTGCAGCTTTTCAGACAGTGAAACCTTCCTAAACCCTCCTCTTTAATCCCTCAGCAGGGACACGGGACGCATCACCTCCATGCTCTGTTGCAATAGGTCAATATTTCTATTTTAAAACCCAATTTTACATAACATTTAGCAGAGAATATATATATATATATTTTTTTTTTTTTGTGGTGAGCCAAAGCTGTCCAAATGAACAGCAATAAATACTTGAAAACTGATCAGCATGTGTATATTTAAATCATTGACGGAGGCTAAGTTTTTGATTCTGATTTATACCTGTAGCAACTGCAAGTCACAATTTTATGCAAAAGTTCAATGCATTAAACTTGTCATCCCAATGACTGTAAATGCTTTTTTTCATAAAGTAAAAAAACCAAAAAAAAAACTGAATAATCAAATTATATTGGATATATTTATTAAATAAATTCTGTTAAAAAACGTCCTCTTTTGTTTCTGCTGAAAAAAAAATGTTATGACTAGAACTGATATTGAATTCAGATGTGATATAAAATGATAAGTGCGTTTGCCATACTGCACCTGCTTATTCTCCTCAACAATTTTAACATGTTTAAATAAACAGAAAACGGTGGAATGATGATTAATTTCGTACCTCGCTTACAAACTCAAAGAACTAATCAAAATTTAACTTGAACATCAGAGCTTCTCTCCAGATTTAGTCCATTAAACCGGAAATGACGTCACATAGCCTCGTCTCCATCGGTTTGTCCATCATTAGTCGTGGACATCAGAAGTAATTTTCATTTATGTCGCTTTAGACGTTGCTAAAAGCGACAAAAAATTAATTTATGACTATCTGGAAATAATGGCCCAGCGGCAGGTCCGTTTGCAGCCGGACACCGAGCACCACCGTCGGCCATCGGGACTGTGAGTGACCGCAGGCTGCAGCGAGCTAACGTTACGCAGCTGTCTGTAACCGAAGCTAGGCGCTTCTTCTTCTTCTTCCTCTCTCTCTCTCCGGTACCACATGATATTGACGCACCTTGTTCTTGCTCAGAGCCGCTGAGTAAAGCCCTTGCCCGTCATGGACAAAGAAGAAGCAGACCGGCTCATAGAGAAGGCCAAGCTGTGTTTACGTTCGGGCCGGAAGGATCGGGCGCTGCAGCTGCTCTATGAGGCGCAGAGAACCTTCCCCAGCACCAGGGCCAGAGGTAAAATGAGCTGACGCAGATTTTCTACAACCGCTCCGTGACTTGCTGACCGAGGAGCTGAGCTCCGGCCTGTGTGCTGCTGGGAGGCTATTTTGAAGTTGTTCAGGATATTTAAATCTGTTTTGACAGAGCTCTACTACGGAAAATGATTAGGGCCACTGGAAAATAAAAAAAAAGTTAACTGATTTTTACATTTTAATTTAGTTTAATATGAGAAAAAAAGTCAGAATTCTGACTTTAATATCAGAATTCTGTCTTTAATCTCAGAATTCTGACTTTAATCTCAGAATGCTCACTGAATTCTGACAGCTAACAAACATGTTAGCATCAAGCCATAGCCATGTCTATTTTAGAGACTAGTTCTCTTGTTGTAATCACCTTCTGCTCTTCCATTAATGAAATAGCATCACCAGGGATCCCTCAGGCATGAAAAAAGTTGCCTAATTCCGTCATTTTCCACCAATGTGTTACTGGCCCTCCCAAACAGCTCACATCTTTGTCAGTGAAGCTCAGAGCTCCCACGTCTCCTTCTTCATGGTGCCTATCTACACTAAGATCCAAAATTCTGAGATTAAAGTCAGCATTCTGAGAAAGAAGTCAGAATTCTGAGAAGAAATTTAGAATTCTGAGATTAAAGTCAGAAATCTGAGTAAGAAGTCAGAATTCTGAGAAAAAAGTCAGAATTCTGAGAAGAAATTTAGAATTCTGTGATTAAAGTCAGAATTCTGAGATTAAAGTCAGAATTCTGAGAAAGAAGTCAGAATTATGAGAAGAAATTCCGAATTCTGAGATTAAAGTCAGAAGTCTGAGAAAAAAGCCTGAAATAAAATTTTAAAATCAATTAACTTTTTTTTTTTTCTTTTCTAGTGACCCTAATCCTCTTCCGTACTCTACGCCAGAATCTAGGTCTGTTTATTTTGACCCCCCACACTTATTTCCTGCCGAACAGCAAGTAGAAATGTTAATCCCACTGTGCTTTCATGGCTTAACCTGCACTGTAAACCTAAGACATCCCAATTGTAAGGATCCCTATACTTCAATGCAGAAATTTGTCTGGCATACCTCGGCATTCACACACTTTAAATACATTTTGAATTCAGTTCAGATCCAAACTTTTCATCATTAACAAAATCCTTCACGCTAATGTATTCAATGGTGGTACATTAAAATATGGAGCTTTCTTTTAGACTTAGACTCAACTTTATTTGTCCCTTGGGATTACTCCTTCAGGGAAATCCTGGTCCTGGTAGTTTATATAGAGTACAAAAGGCAGAGTTAAAGCAAGATGCCATTAAAGATAAAAATAAAATAAAATTATACAATAGATATGTTTCCTTTAGGTATAAAAATATTGGCACAGTAGAGAGCTAAGGTGGGACTACACAGTAGCTGACTTGGATTATTGCAATGCAGAGATGTACTGACCTTATATATATATAACGTATTCTCACGACCATAAGGCGCACCGTACTAAAAGGCGCAGTCTCAGTTATGTGTGCCATTTCTGTATTTAACACACACATAAGGCGCA